GGGTCTGGTCTAGTGGGATTTGTGGTGGTCAAAGTGGCGTTGGGGTGGGTTTTCTCCGAGTACTTCGGTTTCCCCTGCCAATCTTCATTCCACCAAATCCTACATCATCATAATCACCAGGGGCAGATACAATAGGCCAATCAGTGGCCGCCGTGCCGAGTGGACCCAGCTGGACTCCTCCCCCCACTAAGCGAATTTATTTTTTAATCTATCTATCTATCTATCTATCTATNCAGTCCGTCCGTCCGTCCCCTCTGTCTCTGTCTTTATTCCTCTTGCTCCCACTTGGGACACAGGGCATCCGTGAAACGCTTCATTTCACTTCAGTTTCTAAATCTTGGTAGGTGGGACTTCTTTGACGGAGGCTCAGTCAGCCGCAAGGCCGCTACCTACACGCAGAACAGCACAAACACAGAATAATCGCAGACAAACAATCCATGCCTCGAGTGGGATTGAAGCTCACGATTCGAGTGTTCGAGCGGATGAAGACATTTCGTGCCTTAGATCCCGTGGCCACTGTGATCAGCTACTTAGTGATTAGTGGAAAACAAATTTGAGGACAGTACGGAAGGAAGCAGTCGTGTCCTATTTTTAGCCGATGTTCCGATGTTTATCTGGAGGGAATGAGGAAAATTATGAAATACCTCAGTCAAGATATCCGATCTCTGGGCTAAGATTGATATTGCATTTACAAACAGACCTAGCAGTCTTGTGATTTTTAAACGTACTGTAATTGACGGTAGCCTTCACTGTAATCTTAATGGCCTATAATTAATGCCCTCACTTGAAGAAAGTATGCAGTCACACCTCCCCCCGAGGGTGATCAGCCTCCTGCGTTTCGGCTTCCTCTAAGTCCGTCTGCATCTGCCACTTAACTTGGCGGTATACTGAGTCATGTTTCATTTACTGTAATTGGCTTTCCTGTAGGAGAATACTCTATCCAAAGGTTGCGGGTATACAGGGCAAGACATCAAGCTGCGGGGATTTGTTCTTATCCCATGGGAATTTGTATCCGAACCCTGAGTTCGACGGATGAAGGTTAGCGTGACCACTTTTATCGCTTTTCTTCTGGCAGGTTGCTCGCCGTTCGTCGTACAAATGAAAGTGCGAAACATACTCTTAGGCCCTGTAAGTGGGTGAATGCCCCGTATAAAGTAGAAGGTGGAAATATAAAATTATCCATCTGTTTAATTAATTAAATATGTCATCGATACATATGATCCGGAATAATGCAGTCGGTATACCGACTGGCTACGGGCTGGACAACCGAGAAGTCGGACTTCGAGTCCCGGTAGGGCCAAGAATTTTCTCTTCTCCAAGTCGTCCAGACCGGCCCTTGGGTCCACCCAACGTCCTATCCAATTGGTACCGGGGGCTGTTTCTCCGGGGGTAAAGCGGCCTAGGCGTGCAGCTGATCACTCATCTCCAACTAGGGCCGAGGTGAAGAAAATATGGATCTATAGATCCACTCCACATACGCGTTCATGGCGTAGTTAAGCATGGAAACAACTTTACCCTTATCATCAGGACAAGGTGGAGTGGAAGTATAGTTCCACCATTCTTGACCTAGGCACTGGGTGGAGATGAGTGATTAGCTTCACGTCCCTGCCAATTTACCGCCACCCGAAGGCTTCCAATACCAACTGGATAGGAGGCTGGGTGGGCCCAGGGGTAGTCTGCACTCTACTTCTTTGAGAAAAATCTCTTCTTCCTGCAAGGGAAGTGTGTGTGTGTCTGCGTTACATATATGCACACACATGCCATATAGTCTGTGAAGGTAAAGGGCAAACATGTTTCCGTGCCATAAAGATGAGTTGGGTACCTCTAGCTCTGGGGCGCACGCGGTGGCGCAGTCGGTTGAGTTACTGTGCTACAAGCCGGAAGGTCGCGGCTTCGATTCCCAATGAGGTCATTGGATTTTTCAATTTGTCTAATCCTTCCAGCCTCACTACTGTCCTGGGGTCGACTGAAATGAGTACCAGGATTCTTCCTGGAAGTAAATTGTGGCCTGCGCAAAAGGTTAAAATCCTCACCGTCAACTGTAAGCCGATTATCTAAAAAATATGGGAGCCTCAACATATCACAACCCTATGGGCCCTCACTGCTTGTTACAGGGACATTTTACCTTTTTCTACCTTTTTACTAGTAGTTCCATCACTAATAACTTATAGAGTAGGCAGAGGGTTCGGTCACGGTAGCCGAGAGGTCTAAGGCATGCACTGTCTTCGCTCGCTCGGAAACCGAGATCGTGGGTTCGAATCCCACTCAGAGCATGGATGTTTGTGTGCGTTTTTCTGTGTTTGTTTACAGGTAGAGGCCTTGCGACGATCTGATCACCCGTCCAAGGAGTCCTACCGTATGTCTAAGATATAGTAGAACCGAAGTGAAACGGAGAGTTTCATGGAGGTAGGCCTAGGCCCACTGGGGCTGTAGTGCCAAGGAAAAACAAAGAGTAGGCAGAGGTGGTGGTCAGCTTCACGCCGCTCCTGCTTTTTCCCCCTTGGAATTAGCTACCGCTATCCATCGCCTGGGTGAGCGCTGGATCCAATGTGGGCGCTATGGAGAAAATAAAAATATCCTGTCTTTCCCAAGAATCGGCCGTCCAGCCCATAGCCCAATATCTAAACCGACTGAGCTAACCCGGCTTCTCCATATTGCCTATACACCCCTCAGAACCTCTTAGACACTTCAGCAGTTACTCGTACATACGCAGTTGCCGAAGCGTCGAGCAGTGAAACGATTAAACAACCACGTGCTCTGTTCTGACAGCCTTAAATGGATTTAAGGCAAGCGAGATATAGCCGTTAAAAGTTTACAAGGAAGTTTTGGGGCTAACACGGGGCTTGCATATTTTAGAGTGGTAATATGGATAATTACCGTACAGTAACTTACGATCGTGAATCTGTTGTTAACTTTGTTTCATGTTCATAATTGTGGTGAGTCCAGATATTTTAGACTAACAATTATGCTAATTGTAATCAGAGAATTTTAATCCATTTAAGTTGCCTTGTTTCATTTTGGGTAGTAGCATACAAGAAAATACAAATATGTTGTCACGTTTAGGGGCGATTTATAAGACGGGTTCTGGATTGGATGATTGTATTATTGCACCTTAAGCAATCATGCAACTCGGGACTACAGGCAATACAGCGCTCTCGCTCATCAGCACAATTTATAGTTCACAGTTACACACGCAC